TGATTTGATGGTTTGTGGGTATTGGGTTGTCATAGGTTCAGCTCGAGAGAGTTTACCCTAAACCCTTTTCTACACATTCAGCTCGAGAGAGTGAATGGACTAAAGCGAAGGCTATTTTTTAATTGCTGCGTTTTGGTGTTCGAGAGAAACCAATTTGATTCGTGGTAAATTGTTCGAGAGAAAGTTTATCCCCACTAAAGTCTAGCTTATTCACTGATTTAGAGCTATTCACTATTAATTTCAATCACCCATTTGTCTGCCTTAACCCATAATCCAATCACAACCCAAGAACCCGTCTCCATTCTTGTTATTTTCGTGTTATTTGCTATTGTAGCTGATAGTTGAAACCAAATCCCCTGTTATTTGACACTTGTGTCACCCCAAACTTGAGTCATGCTTTTATTCATAAATGTTTTTACCTATGATTGACTTGAACATATTCATGCTTTTCTATTGATTCTCAAATACGTACCACTCCCTTAGTACTCGACCCCAACTCACTTAGTTGGGTTATATTACTAACTAATGATCATTGATGCTTAGTATTGGATGAAGCATCTTTGAAATGTTATTAATCAAAATGGCGCCGCTGCCGGGGAGTGGTGTTATTTGAGAATTTTTAGTTAAGTTGAATTTTGTTCTTGTTAGTTATAGTGATACTTAATTTAAGTTTTGTTTTGCTTGTTTTTCTGTTGAATAAGGAAGTATGAGTGTGAACGGCAGCAATGGTAACCAAGTAGGCCATCAAGATGACATCAGAAATCTTAACAATGTCAACGAGCCTAATCCTAATGACCCCAATATTATGGGTGGTATTGGTGCCATTCGCCTGCCTCCGGCTGAAGGGAATGCGGTGTTCCACATCAGACGTACTATGTTGCAACTCTTGCAATTGAATGGGCTATTCAGTTGTTTGGCTCATGAGGATCCCCATGAGCATATTAGAAATTTCATGGATGTATGCGGACCATTCTCCTTCAAGAACATCTCCCAAGAGTCAGTTCGGTTGAGGTTGTTACCGTTCTCTTTGATGGGAGAGGCATGTAAGTGGCTGGCTGAATTTCCATGTGAATCAATCACTTCTTAGGAGGAGTTGGTCACCGCATTTCAAGTGTAATTTTTCTCTCCATCAAAGATGACGACTCTTCGGGACATCATTCAGAGCTTCAAACGTCTAGAAGGCAAGCCAATTCATGAAACTTGGCTGCAATTCAAGAAGTTAGTGCTTCAATGCCCAACCATAGCTTGCCTGATAATGTGTTGTTGTAGTATTTTTACCGGATTCTTGACTCGGTAAATAAGGGTGTTACTGACCAACTTTCTTCGGGAGGTTTGCTGTAGCAACCTTATGTGATAGCGGCTCAACTCTTGGATGGCATGACTACGATAAATGGGGTGTAGTAACCCTTGAAGACCAGGTCTCCCCCCTCATGTTTAAACTAACCAAAGAGCAGATGGAGAAAGACCAAGAGAGGGACCAGAACATGGCAAAGATCACGACACAACTTGACATTTTGTCTAAAAATGTCATGGGAGTTGGTTCTCAAAGTTTCAATGCCGTGGGTGTCGTGTGTGCTTATCCGGAATAGTCTAAGTTTTAGGCTTTGTATAATGAAGGGATAAATTTCATAGCCAACCAAGGTGGTGGTTATCATTAAAACTACCTGAGGCAGGGTGGTAACCAAGGTTGGAATAGGGATGAAGGTTGGAAGGATCATGATTGAGAATGAAGTGACCGAAATCCTAATTGGAAGGATGGGGAGAAGGATAGGTATGTGCCTCCCCATGAGCTCCAAAAGCCAAAGGATTCCGAAGGTGGCCGGTCTGAAGATATGCTTTCTCGTATCCTCAACAAAGTTGAGGGGTCGGATAAGATTTTAAAGGAAATTAAAGAAGATGTGTCGACCCTTAACCAGATCGCTACCTCCCATTCAGTATCGATCAAGTAGTTGAAGACCCAAATGGGTCATATCTTGTCTTATTTGAACCCGAGACAGCAAGGGGGTTTGCCTAGTGATACTATGGCCAACCTCAAGAATGAGGTTTAAGTATGGACTTGCATCGTGCCGCGACGTTGACTAAGGCGCTGCTTGAAATAATAGTGTGTTGATTGTGCAGGTCAAAGTGTGGAAAGTGTTTGAAAAGTGCAGGTTGGCAAGCTAAAGTTCCAGACGGTGCATCGCCGAAAAGGTCGGCGATCCCGAATTAGACTGTCGTTGGACTCAAGACAATTTTACATTTGAGTCTGTAAAACTCGACGAGCCCAGGAAATGATCGTCGAATCGCCGACCAAGTCGGCGATCGCGATCTAGTCCACCGTTTGGACCCCCACATTAACTGGAGGACTTGTAAAACTCGGCGAGGTAAGTGACCACTCAGCGTGTCGCCGAGTGGGTTGGTGAGCACGACTAATGTCGCCGAATGGGCAAGAACTGGATGGTTTTTAAAAGCCAAAGGTTTAAACTTTCAAACTCTTTCACTTTCCCTCACTTTCAATCTTCCCAAACTCACACCCGCACATTAGTTTCTTGATTTCTGCATTTTAGAGTGTTTTAGTCATTGATTGGTGCTCGGAGTGGGATTACTTTGCAACCTAGCATTTCAATCTTTATTTAATCGGCATCGAAGGTTGGTTTTCCAAATTTCGAGTTTATTTTTAGAATATTGTACTCATTTGAAATGATATTATCTTAGTGATGTGTGTTGCGCCTCTCTGATAGTGTTAATTTGTTTGAATGGTTGTTTTAATTTGATAATGTTGCCCGTAATTTTTATATTGTTGAAATCCTGTAATTTTATGCCTTAAAATTGGTTAGAATTTATGGAGTTGTTCTTGCATGTTGTTGGGTCTACTAGGGTGAAGTCTAAGTAACCCGTAGTTGTGCCAAATGATGTATTTTGCCGAATGATAAAGCGAATGACATCATTCTTAAGGGCAAAAGTCGTCAAATGGCCAAATCTGGCAAATATCGGGAGAAGTCTGAGTATCCCGGGGTAATGGGTGTTATGGATCTTGCTTTAATTTAATAAGTGCATGCTTTTTGTTTGCAGGGGTTGCGGGGTTGAATTCGAGAAGTTGGGTTGAAAGTAGACACGTTGGGTCGTTTGGTGAGCTGGGTCGAGCTCACCGAACCACTCGGCGGTTCGCTGAAGTTCCCCATCTCACCTTTAATTGCATGCTTTACTTTAATTTTGGTTGTGTAACTTTCGGCGAGAGCCTGATGTCGTCGAAGTCACTCGGTGACTCATCGAAAGTCTTCTTGATCGCCCTTTTTCTGCACTCCTGAGCCTTAAATTGCAATGTAACTTTCAGTGGGATAAGCCTAGCTCACTGAATGTTGTCGGTGATTCGCCAAAAGGCCTTCCCATCGCCGACTTGCCAAAATTTTCTAAGAAATTTAAGCCAATCCTTTTGGCGAGCCCGATTTAGCTCGCCAAAGTGATTCAGTGACTCGCCGACTTGTTCGGCGAGTCTGTCTACAATTATTTCTCTGTGCTTTTGATTGAAATATTTCTAACTTCTTCCTGATGTTTTGCAGACATGGCTAGACCAAAGGTTGCAAGTAGAACATGCCACCACGAAAGAAAGCTAAGGGGATTACACTAAATGAAGATGCAACTGCATCCAGGGGCAAGGCTACTAAACCCACAACTGGTGGGAATGGCAAAGGAAAAGGAAAAGGCAAGGCACCTGCGTCACTGGAGGCCAACTCCCATAGTGATGGCATCCATGCCACTCATCTCACCACTTCTGAGAGTAAGGGCACTAGGAGCGTCAGACTGTAGCTTCTGATGATGATGAGATGGTAGCAACACATAGGGCAGAGTTGCGGTAAAAAAGGATGAATGATCCGTCTAGGATTACGACTCCTCAGCCCACTACTTCTTCTCCTCCAGTTCCAACACATGCAGTGGTGCTTGCACCACCAGTTCAAGGTGCTCCTCTCAAGTCTATGAATACTTAAAGGCTGAGAGGCTGAGGACAATCATTGAGGAGAAACATCTGTCCACAGATGGGGTGATTGATAGGTACCCCAATATTATGAGCTGTCTAAAGTCTCATAAGTTCCAGTTCTTCACAAAGCCCTATGGCCCGTATATTCCAAGTTGGGTTAGGGAGTTCTACAGTGCGTACAATTGCTTGATACCACAGAGGAAGAAGCAGGTAGCAACAATTAAACCGGTTGACTATGTAGTTGTTCAGGGGAAGAGGGTTCATTGCAATTTTCCTGCCATTAATGTTGTCCTAGAGTGCACTACGAGACTTGAAGATGACTGCCTACATATGATCAGGAACAAGATTCTGGACAACACGAAGAAGTCGTTAGCTTCGTTGATATCTGATGGCATTCCAAAGTGGTTGGAGGTAAGGGCTCCAATAGAAAAAAAAAGACTTGAATGTAGCAGTGAGGTATTGGTTTGGCTTTATCAGTAGCATAATCATGCCCTCCCAAAATGAGTCTATTCTCCGCCCTGCCAAGGCAGCCTGTCTAGGCTGCATCATTGATGGGACGAGGCTTAATCTGGGGATGATTATAGCATATGAGATGGTTATGAGGGAGAAGCAGCACCAGACCTCACTTTAATTCCCGGTGTTGATCATCGAGTTATGCAAACGGGATCGAGTTGCGAGAGGTGCAAAGAAGGATGTTGAAGTGATTCCCACATCCTCTACTGATAACCAGAGGATTGAGGCGGAATATTTGAAAGATGAGGCGGAGACGAAGAAGAAGGCAGCCACGGTAGATGCTTCCCTGGTTGTGGACACAGACGTACAACTTGCAGAAGTAGTTTTCCCTACTCCGACCCCTGGGCCTTCAGGTACTTCTTATGTTGCACCTTCTGACATCCCTAGTTTTTCTATTGTTGCACTGCCTCCTAGACCTGCTGTTGCTATTGTCACTCAGACCCCGCTCACTCAGGCTGCATTACTCTGGATGGGGTAGCTTTCCCATTCTGCCCATAGTAGGGCTGCCAGACTCGAGGCCTCTATTCCAGGCATGATTCAGACTGCCCTGGCTCATGGTGTGACACCATTAAGCACTACCATTGATGCCCTTGCGGCTAGGATAGCTGTGTGTGAGCGTGGCCAAGGGGCTAGTGAGGAGGTGACGACTTTAAAGGCCGTTATTGCTGTGTTGAGGAGAGATGTGGATCAACTGAAGTCCATCGACATGTCCATGATTTTCGGTACGGTGGAGATCCTAGATGTACTAGATATACCTCCGGCTACCACCAGAGATGAGATTAGAGTTGAGGAGGCAGCTGATCCCGAGTCTGAGGCAGTGATGGATGAGGAGATGCTTGAGGTGGCTGAGGAAGCTTCATATTAGGGTATTACTGAGACTGAGAAGGCCATGGTAGATGTAGCTGTGGAAGCTTCTTTGGCGGATACACCCTTGGCTGATCCTAGTGCAACTACTTTTCCTTCTGAGGTGACTCCGGGAGCTGATGCCCAAGTCCAGATTGATGCATCGGGCACTGATGCCCAGAAAGATGGAGTGACTGAGTAGACATGATCCCTTCTATACCTTCTTCTCTATCTTAATTTGTTTTGACTTTTGGATATTTTTTCTTGCATTTGAGGACAACTGATTTTTATTTGTGGTGGGGTGAGGCCCACATTTTGTTACACTTTGGTTTTGTTTATATATTGTGTTGTGAGCTATAATTATGTGTTACACTATTTTTGTGGATGATTGAGGTAGTGAATCCTTGGTTTTAATTGCAAATGATTTTTGGACCTTTCCAAAAAAATTGTGCCACCTTTTGTTTGTGTTTGAACGTGGTTGTTCTCTTGCAAATTTGAGTATCGGTCATGATCAATACCGATGACTTGAATAGTGCTCATAATCGAACAAAAATGAATATGTGGCTACGATGAGGTCAAATGAAGTTGCATAGACAATATGTGAACTCTTTGCATCTCGTTATGACTAGCCAAGTATCAAATTGAGTCTCTTGTGATGAGCATTGCACACTAGCGAAAGTGTGAAGTCTTTCTTGACGTTGGTTTCAATGCCTTGTGTGATGAGCTTACCGTGAACCATGTATGATGACACCTAGAATTTTCCCCATTGGTCTGGTTGACTAAGTGATGCAATCTCTTGATATGATCATAGGCAACTTTGAAGAGTGTGAAACAATTTGACATTATACCTCTTTTGTGGCTTACCTTCTGAGTGTGTGAACCCTGTTTGAATACCCTTTTAGCCTAAGCCTTTTCTTGGAAGAAACTTGATGAAATTGTGACCTTTCTTGAACCATTACCCATAATCCTCATGATTTGTGGTTTGTGTGAATAGCCAACTCAGGCCAAAAGCCTAAGTTGGGGGTATGGTGAAAAGAGAAGGTAAATCAAGAAGTGCAAGAAAGTCCCCTTTGACCCATGGTTTTGAGAAAATGGAACCCCTCCATATAAAAAAAAGAGAAAAAGAAGAAAAGAATGAAAAAGAGAAAGAATGAAAAAGTTGTGGAATAAAGTTGTGAAAGTGCAAAGAAAATGTGGTGTCCAAGCAATCCATACAAGATGAATAATGGAGTGACTTTTGAGCACGAATGAGAATGATGAAAAAAAGGAAAGAATGTGTTGTTCATACCACATGTCATGAGGATTACATCCATTGAGGCTAAATGGCCATACCTTTGCACTCAACCACATTACAAGCCTTGAAAATACCTTTTTGATCTTGAGTGAGCTGAAACAAGAGTTGATTGGAAATTACGGGCAAACCTATGGGTGACGTCATGCATTGTGTTCATCTTTGTGAGTGTGAGCGTTGCATTTGATTCCAGACTTTTAAATTGTGAACCATTGTGTGTGAATAAGGAATCATTCTTTGTGTGAGGGCATTTGATTACTATTGTTGAACTTGAACTTGCATTTGAAGCAAGTATTGTGAACTTGAGAATCTTTGATAATGGTGAGTCGCAACTTGAATCTTTGAGTCCACAATTGATCCTTGCATGAGTAAGTTGAGTATTTTTGTGTGCATTCATGATTGAGTCTTGTGTAGCACTGTTTGAAACATCCTTTTTGAAGTGCTGAACTCGAGTTTTACTTGAGGAAAAGCAAAAGTTTAAGTTGGGGGTGTTGATGAGTCCACGATTTGGACTCATTTAGGGTTTATTTCAATAGATTTAGTGTCCTCGAAAGCATATTTGTGCCAATAACTGATGTAAATCCTTGATTTTCAGGTATTTGGATTGAGGAACAAAGCATGGACACTAATGAGAAAAAAGGAACAAGGCAGTTGAAAGAAAGAAGAAAAGAAGACCTGAGGATCACCTAAACCATTGGGAAAGTCGCTGAATGGCTATGGTCTCGCTTAATGTTCCAGTGTTCCAAGCCTTGAAAGAGAAAGTCAAGTCGGTAATAGAAAAGAGCAGTCGGCGAGTCATCGAATTGTTCCGCGATGCATTGCTATAACACCCAATGTTACAGAGCTTGAAGTTGCTGAAAGCTAAAGCAAAAAGGCGATGGAATTAACTAAAGGGCGGATCGCCAAGTGGATCAGCGATCCCGACTTATTGCGCCGAATGGTCCTTTGCAACACATTTTTGGCAACTATAAATACATTTTTAAATTCTTATTTTAGTATCTATCAATCTAGTATTCAATAGTTTTCATTATTGTTCAGCTTTCAAGTTTGAGAGCTTAGAACTGACTTTTGAGACAATATTTCCTTAACTTTAAAGATTGGAAGATATCCCTTTCTGAGAAATTGGAAGTGGGTGTTGAAGATTCTTCATCTTAGACCTTTGTAAAGACAATGTTAATCATACTCAATTGATGGAAACACAATTTGGTAACGATTTCTATCTTTTTATGATGTCTAGCTAAAACCTCAATTCTTGGGGTGTGATTATGTGATTATAGGTTAGTTTAGTTGCTGGGTATTGTTAATTGATAGGGTAAATGCTGTTTAAAAGTGATTTGATTTAGTAATTGTGGCTTAATCTAAAGGGTTGTAGTTGAAAATGCAACTCTACCTTAGTGTTTTGTCTTGCTCGAGAGAAAGGTTTTAAAACCAAAATTACTAATTTGATGGTCTGTGGGTATTGGGTTTTCATGGGTTCAGCTCGAGAGAGTGAACCCTAAACCCTTTTCCACACATTCAACTCGAGAGAGTGAATGGACTAAAGCGAAGGTTGTTCTTAATTGTTGCTTATTGGTGTTCGAGAGAAACCAATTTGATTCGGGGTAAATTATTCGAGAGAAAGTTTTGCCCCGCTAAAGTCTAGATTATTCACTGATTTACATCTATTCACTATTAATTGCAATCTCCCATTTGTCTAGCTTAGCCCATAATCCAACACATCCCAAGAACCCGTCTCCATACTTGTTATTTTTGTGTTATTTGTTGTTGTAGCTGATAGTTGAAACCAAATCCCCTGTTATTTGACACTTGTGTCACCCCAAACTTGAGCCATGCTTTTATTCGTAAATATTTTTACGTATGATTGAGTTGAGCATATTCATGCTTTTATACTGATTCTCAAATATGTACCACTCCCTTGGGACTCGACCCTAACTCACTTAGTTGGGTTATATTACTAACTAACGATCCTTGACGTGTATTGGATGAAGTTTCTTTGAAACGTTATTAATCAATATGCGTTAGTACAAAAAAATGTACCAAGTATGATAGCCATTCATAAAACATTTAAATCATGCTAAAGGGTCATTTCATTTCATGACATGCAATTGACCAAGCTAAACATGATGTAAAAGAGTTATAAAACATAAATCGTAAAATCATGGTCAATGCAAGCTAACTTCATCTTAAAAACCTTTTAACTCATATGCGATACTTCTTTAAGTAACCTTAGTCCATTTTTAATGTAGGGAGTTAGCCTTAACCGATGAGACCATATGAGCTATAATATGATCCCCTGGTGTCTTCCACACCGAAAAGGGTTGTCCTACTTGCCAAGGTAAGGACCATGAACTTCTAGCTTTAGTGGATCCACTAGCTAAAGTCTATCTAACACAATCATCCTTTGGGAGAACATAGGTAAGGGATAAGGATATTTCTTCTAGAAACCAGACCTATACTAACTTGAGAGCTCCCATCTCAATATCCTCTTGGTGCTAAGCATAAATCTCACAGAATAGTCATTTCTTATTTTGACCATATTATTCATGGAAAGGCATCCTATGATAACCAATCCAAGTTAGTTTCATGAGGATAGCTTTTACTCTTGATTCATTTAGGTGAGAAAGCCTTTCAACCTAAGAATCGTTTCCATGTGAGAAAACCTTTCACATCATGCTTATATGTGTTTATGAGAATGTCCTTTCAATAACACAACAACAACATCATCATTGATACTTTACTCTCAAAGCATCCTTAATACATTTGCATATATTTCATAAGAAAATGCATAAGTCCATAATTTACCTCTTGAGGTTCAAAAACCACTTTTAATCATCAACGCTTATAAAACATGGGTTTGATATGGATTTCATCATAAATTCATGTAAAGCTAGCATCACATTCTTAATTCCATAAAACTCTTCATTTAAGATCAAAATTCCACATCATATGATTTATAACTTGAGAACATAGGGGATTACATGGGTTCATGCGGAAATCATCATAAGATCAAAGTATTTTATCAATTTTTGCATAAGTGATCATAATTCAGTCATATAAATCAATAATCAAAAGAACCCATGGTAATTGAACCAAACTTCTCTACCTTTAGAAATAGAGGAATTTGGGAACTCCATAGATCGAAGAAATCCATGGATGAAAACTATCATACCTTGAATCCAAATGCTAGCCTTCAATGGAGGAATTGAGACCTTGACTTGAAACCCTAGGTTGAATCATTTTCTTCTTTAAGTTTCTAGAGAGATACGGGGCGTTACAATATCTCCCCCTATGACTTCCCAAAATTTGACTTGAATCCAAATGCTGGAACCTACGACTTCCCAAAATTTGCTTCATTTCACTTTTTCGGATACGGGGCGTTACAATATGTCCCCTTTGGACCATTTGTCCTCGAATGAGATTTAAACTGGTTCTAAAAGATTAGGAGAGTAACTATCAACCCAACCTAAAATGCAATGCATACAACAAAGGAGAAACTATCGACTCCAAGCTAGGACGTTCTCAAAACATCATAAGAGGGGTGAAACTAACTCTAACTGCCCATCATGCATGCAATGCCCATATACAAGGAGGAATTATCAACTCCAAGTTAAACATACTCAATGCATCATAAGGAAGTAGGAACTACATCTAGCGACCCAATATGCATTAAATTTCAAAATTTCTCATGTTCAAGGAGGAATTACCTTCTCCAAGCTAAAAATATGCTCAAC